AGAAGGGAACACACATCACAAGACACGGTTTACACAGAATATAAGAAAAACGACCCCCACAGTGGAAGAACCACACGCAAGTTTTAATTATGACACATAAGATGAATAATCTTAACAAGTTTTGGTGTGTGTAAATTTATTATAGTTGACAAATATGCATTTTTTAAATACTTTTTAAATAATTTTATAAAGGCAAGCAATGAAATAGATTGGCGCAATTGGGGCACCTGATGATGGCACTATGTTGCCAAAACATGTCATGAAGTAACAAGTGAAATTGAGTGCACTACAAGACGGCAACTGTATACATATCATGGATGAAACAATATATACTTACAGTTTATTTAATAATACTGTTAGTAGCTTTGACTATACAGTCATATAATACCATGACTGGTGAACAGTGAATTGGACAGGATGTAGAAAGGAACAGCCATAGCCTAATTTGAGGTACTATCCTGATATTTACCTGGTAGGAATGAGGAAAACCAGGAAAACCCTCAGTTAGGACTGCCAATGTTACTGGACTACAATCTGAAATCTGGTACCTCCAAAACATGAAGAAGGAACACTACCAATTCAACTCAGAATTGTTTTTCTTCAGAGAGGAATATTCTGAGTGGGATATCTCACAATAAACAGAATAGTCATTCTGATAATGTGTCACATGTTTGCGTAGGTTCTCAGTTTCCATCATGGAAGGTCATTACACGTGGCCCCAGCCACCCAAACCTGCAGAGTCCTACATCATCAGAGTGGTCTGTTCCATCATGCAGCTCCTCAGCTCCAACACCCAGCGGAAGCACTACTCTTAACGGAAGAACTAACGGCTTCCGCAATCCATTTTCCATTCTTTCTTCATTCAGTTTACATTCAGATGCCTATTCAAAGTACGTACTCTGCTTACTATATTACAGAAATATAAAATAGCAGTTAACAGCATGAATTCCTAACATAGATTTCTGATGGTTGCAAAGAGTTGTACAACATATTGCCTAGTACAAGGTGCCAGGCAGAAGAAATCAGAAGTTGCCTGCTGCTCCACCCACGTAGTGGAGTCTTCCAACTTTTGTTGTGATACTTGAGCCCATCTCGCCCTGGGGGCTAGGCCGCTGCTGTCACCATTTGCGCAGAAGCTCTCAAGGTGCATGAATATAAGGCATCCTGACTTACATGATTTCATAAGGTAAAGCTATCACTGTAACACGCCATGGAGGCCCACAGGGTTGTGAGACGTTGACACTCCCACATTTTCTCTAGATACTCAACTCACAGATGGCGGCGAGGTTGTCAGCCTTACACACCGGCCACCCTTTACCCCCCAGGAATATTCTCATTTCTGTTAGAGGCTGAGTCGACCCGAGGGCCATAGTGTGGCAGGAAGGATTAGGTCAATTGAAAAATCCAATGACCTCATTGTGAATCGAACCCGCAACCTTCCAGCTTGTGGCATGGTGCCTCAACCAACTATGCAAACATGTGCAGTTTTTTTTTCTTTCAGTGAAGACTAGAAAACAATCAAATTGTTAATATAAAAAATAAATGATTTGTGGGACTTTTCTGAAATTACTGATTACACCTACTTTGGTCTTAACTGTATCATCTGATATTACTTCTTTAAAAACCATCATCAGTTAGCAAGATTACAGTCTCCTGCTATGTGATGCCATGCAGGTTGGTAGATACATACCAGTGCACCAACCTTCTGCTTCCATCTTCACTCCATCTACTCTGAAGATGGAGGCAGCAGATTACTTTGAAAGGTTTGTACCCATCTATGAAACTACACAGCATCACATCTCAGTCTGTACCCTTCATATTCACTACTCTGAGAACCTCAAATCTCACATCGGACAACAAGATTACAGAGTGCAGTTAAAAGTTTCAGAGTGGCTACAGGATCAGGTTTCAGTACAGTACACAGAAGGCTTATATATTTGTGGAAATATTGCAACATAATCTGCACCTCAGTGATGTTTTTCTTTTACAGTGACAGTGTACCTCCAGAAGTTGTGTCCAGATTAATGTCGGCAGTCAGTTTCGGTTATGGAATATTCCAGCTCTGTATTTCTCTACTCCCTCCTTCGTTGCTCAAACTGATTCACTTCCTGGGATTTGAAGGTGATCGTCAAGTTGGTATTGCAGCCCTCATGTTTGCTCGTCAGGGGCATGATATGAGGGCACCATTAGCATCGTAAGTTCATTACAATCTGTACATCCTAAATTTATTTCTGTAATTCACAGTCTAATGGTTTTCAGTGATGCACTAATCCTTCTCCTGATTCTAATCAATTTTAGTTCCATGGAATGTTCTCCGTTAAATTTGCCTTCACTCTTTGATCACTGCATCTAGATCTAAGAAATGCCCCACAACTATTCACTCTCTACGTTGTACCTAGTAATAGGGCCAGACATCACAGATGAGTTAGCACTCCTGCTTCATATTGGGAAGGTTATGAATTCAGATATCGAGTTTTCCCATACCATCCAGGTAAAAGCCGAGACCGTACATGAAAATACGTCACAATCACTTACACGCCCTCTCCAATTCATTAGCATGCTTTAATTGGAACCTACGCCGTCCTTCAAACAGTGGCGTTAAAAAACCATAAACAAATAAAAAATATTAACTTGACCCTAACATGTGCATGTCAGGTTCTGCTGCATAGCGCGAATCACACGTGATCTTCCACGATAACGTCCTTATGTTTATAAAACTTTTTATAAATACAATTATTGAAAACTTTAAAGAAATTTGCCGTTTTAAAACGAATACCATCTATTACGTATAAATATCCAATATTAGCACCAATATATTGTAAACTTACCGTAATTCAATTTCAAACTGGGGTAAAAAAATTCACTCCCTGACAGGCAGTTCACACAAGACGAAAGTCGATCTGTCATTATCATCACTATCGATCACTATTGCTCGATAGCAGTCCTCTGCGATGTCTGCGACTGTCGAAAGAATATTTCGAAATGTAATGTTCCACGGTTAGCATTTGGCGTTTGGTGGAATAAAGGTAGCGATTATGTAATGCACGTGCCATAATGCAGAAACTCAAAATCCACATCAGTTATAGAATTAGACAACTGGCAACAGACATTTTTCGGTAGATGTGTACGCAAGCAACTTGGGTTAGAATATATTGAACACCACTCCGCCGTAGAAAACCGAAATTAACGGCCGTGGGGATTCGTTGCGCTGACCATGCGACACCCTCTATCCGCTAAAGTTGGCACCAACTTCGCAGACAAGCGGAGGTCGGTCGGTATAGTTCGCTTGCGGACCCAGACCACGAAGTTTTTATATCTGTAACACGGAATGGCAAAAGTACACCCAACGTTTTCAATGCTACGTCGCCGCCACGCATTAATTGCCTTCCCGTGATTTTACCACCATTCTATCTCATGAAATATGGAATAAGCAACTGATTAACAATTTTCTAGCCTCATGGAACCTAGCCCTTTGGATAGCAACAGTTGCCTAGCTAATAAAGGAATTCTCACCATTTTATGGAATCCAAGTTAATTACAGGGTTCATGACGGCCTGCCACTGGCTCCTATTCTGAGCCACAATCCAGTCCACACCTTACCATTTAAGAGCCATTTGAATATTACCCTTTCAACTATCCCTAGCTATTCCTAGTGGTGTATTTTCATCAGATTTTCATACCATAACTTCGCACTTCCCTCCCATGTGTGCTACATGCTTAGCCCATTTCATCCTCTTAGCTCTAACTGCCCTAATATTTGGTGAGTACAAATTATGTAGCACTTCAATATATGATTATCTTCATCCTCCTGTTATATCCTCTCTTTTAGGTCCAAATACTCCCCTCAGAACGCTGCTCTCTAATATCCTTAGTCTACCCTCTTAACTTTCATGTGCCAGAAGAAAATTTACTTAAATTAATAAACAGTTACCACACACTTGATATACAAATTGGTGTTCATAACCCATAACTCTTGTTAATTACATATTGTTAGTTTTCTATGTGTAAACGGCAGACATAAATTAAATATTTACACTTTACATTAACGTCTGATCTGTAATCTAATGGATCTAAAAATACTGAACTGCATAAACTGTATGGCAGCATGGTGGTAACTAATGAAAATCCAAAAATATCTGCTTTAGAAATATACTCACAAATACATTTTGAAGGTGCCACCATGTGGATGTAGGATGACTCCCCCATTTTTAAAGAAAAATAAAAATAGCCATGTGGAGATCATAGCAGTCCAGGTGTGGCCAAAGTAATGGCGTGTGAGCTGCATGCAACTGTTTTCAACCTTCGTGTGCCTCAAAAATATATTAGTCCCTTTTTTATGAATGGATTGAATATAAAAATCTGATACATGGAAAGCATATACCCAAGCACCTATCCCTATGATCCACATCTGTCTGTGGCTCCCTCACTGATGAAAAGCATCATATGCAACTCCAACATTCGGTATGTCTGGCCACCTTTATTGTAGTCTATTGAATACAGTGTCTTGAGGCTAATGAACTATCTTCTAATAATAATTCTGTCAATGTGCCTATTAGATATATACTTTATATTTTTAAAATTCAATTTGCAACTGCATATATTATAAAAACAACTTACTTTTACCATAAATGTTATAATAACTTTTATTAATTGCAAAAGAAATCTGAAATGAAATGTGCCAGCAAATGTGAATACAACAGTATAACAAGGAGAACTTGCAGGTGGTGTTCCTTAGATATAGTAATTAATGATATGCAGAGAATCCCATGATAAAGTGTTACAAAACTGACAACTGTGCCTCTCTTCTGGATTACCTTAAGAGAGACTGTAAAATTTTTGCATAAATTTCATGTTAAAATTTTTGATATGATGAGCAATTTATACTGAACTTGATAAAATCTTAATTTAACTTCATGTAATGTAGGGATTATATGGAACTCCTATAAATAAAAATAAAATTCGGGTGACATATATATTTTAGCATATATCCCCAACAGATATCTTGTAATGAGATACAATTATTCTTATAAGACAGAACAGCAAGAATTGTTCTAAGATGTATAATGAAATAAAAAAGAACTTGCCATAGCAAGATCTGATAAAGACGACCCAAAAAAGGCAAGGGATGATGGTGTTCAGGCTTTCTCTGTTCTGCCTGCTGTTGTATTTCCCTGTAGCCTCCTCTGGCCTGTGTCAAACGGTCCAACATATGTCATTATCACACATTATCGCTACTAACATTTTCTGTACGGAAAAATGGTTAGACTGGAGGACAGTGGAGGGATATATGCTATTAGAGGTAGTATAACAGCGGAAGGGAGGTGCAGAGGGGGTTGATGAACAGAATATTTTTTCTCAGTATAATTCTCTAGTAATGCAATATCACACATAGGGGGAATGGTTAGTCCTCTAATCAGCTCATTCGCCAAACTTACATTGGCAGGTTGGCTCTCCTGTGGTATCACACCATAGTCCGTCCATTCTTTGCCCTGGATGGATCAAATGTCCAAGCAGGCGTAGAAGCAGCTCAACACCTTATAGCAGAATCTCAAAATGATTTTGGACAGTCTGCACTGTTCCTCTTCTTTAAAGGGCGTGTTGAAAGACTTAAGGTAAGATGATGCAGGCTTAAGACAGTGCAGAAGAGTTTCCCACAAATCACTGAGCAGCTCAAGAAGAGCAACCTGATTCTCTTTCTGTCTAGTCAGGTCATGCAGATTCATAGACTGGCCCCGTCTACACATCACAAATAAAACTCAGATTACAACATATGCTGGAAATGCTCCATGTTGTAATGCGCATATTCCTAGCATGTGCACAGAAAGATTATCATGTGTTCAAGTGCTTTTTGGAAATAAATTAAACTTGAAACTTCAAAATCCAATCTCCTGTGCAGAACATCTGTTGGATTTTTGAGGAAAATGTTCATGCCTAGCATCAATTGTACGTCGACATAATCCAATGTTATTCCATCCACATCCAGTCCTAAGAACCCGTTTCTCTAAAACAGTCCTTTCCCTCAGATATTTCATCAATCTACATCAAAAACTTATCAGGCCTGAGAGCTGTGTTTTTGCATATACTATCTTTATCAAGAAATTGTTTCATTCACCGTATGTTGCACTACTGAAGTTGAGCATGCAGAGTCCAGCAAGCATTGCAGTCTTTAATAATAGCGTCATAATTAATATCCAGCCACCAACCCTGCAGCATCAGATGATTTAAAAAACACTATTCTTGGATGATAAAGGTTAAGGCAGTTCTAATGCACATATTTTTGTCATGGAAGTGACAGAGTGCACAGTTTATCTCAACTCTGACAGCCAAACTCTCTGTCTGTTTGCAGTCTAACATCAATGGTGCTCTTGAAGCATACCAGGCGGCAGTGGTGAAATCTCCACAAAGAGAAATCCAACTGCTCTGTTTACATGAAGTTGGATGGTGTCATCTAATACAACTGGACTGGAATCAGGCACACCAATGTTTCTTACAGCTAAAACTCAGGTCTCGATGGTCTAAAAGCTTCTACACTTATCTTGCTGCAGGTATACTGCTTTCTGCTCATCATTCTTAATATAAGTGCAAAGATAATTTAATCTATTGAACTCCTGGCATCATCATTTATAGATGCAGCAGGATTTTGGCAGTGCATTACACCAGATGGCAGTTCAGCTAGCTGATGGTATCTCATCAGACGTACTTGTTAATAAAAGTGATCATTACAATAAAAAGTCATACTTAACAGGTTTTTTGTTAGCGGCCTCCCTAGTCTAGAGGTAACGTTCCCACCTCATAACTCGTGGTACGCAGATTCAAATACCCAGCGGAAGTCGTCGAATTTTAAGGGCGGAAAAATTCAGGGAACAAGTCCTCCGGGAGGGACTTTAAGCTGTGTGTCCCGTGTCGTAACTTTACGGCACATAAAAGAACCTCATATCCCCAAAGGGGATCACTGAGCCAAATTCCAGGACGTTTCTCGCCCAACAATAGCCTCTAAGGCCTCTGATAGATGGGGGAAGCATTATAGACACCGCTAAGCAAGTGGCCGAACTCGCTTGCTCGGCGGGACTGATGGTACGCACCATTTAACGGTAGGGTAAAGAGACTGGTAGAATATCATAGAGGGAAGCACAATAGATCAAACTGGTCGCGGTGCATGGGGAAACCCACCCTCTCTAAATAACTAACTAATTAACAGGTTTCTTCTTTTTAGTCATTGAAAAGGCGTTCTGAAGCTGACCATGCTTATGAAATCAGCTCCATCTAATGGACCCAATAGAGTATGTTTCATAATTTTACCTGATGATGGAAACAGAGCCAGCTTCCAAAACATACATTAACCAAACAGGACCCTAAATTTTGTTACTTGCACCATGTGGAATGGTTAATCCTGCTAGGATCTTTCATGGAGACAGAGAGCTCCACAGCGAAGTGAAATGAAATTTGGCCATATCCTGGACATTCAGTCAGGGGTTCATTGTCTATGAAGTTCACCAATTAAATGAACAGATTCAGTTTTCTAGAACCAACACACACTAAAACAAAAAAGAAACATAATCACAACTCAAAAAGAAAAGGAAAATACTTCAAAAGCCAAAGTTTGTTTCAAAATAAGGCTGCATCTTTGGTGGTCCTTCTGCTAGACATAGCCAAAGTTATTTGCTACTATATATGCATTTATATACCGAGCACAAAACTTCAACCAAACTGTGTATGCATGAGATTACATAAAGGAATGTGACGTGAGGTTATGATGGCAGTGACTGAAAATTACTGTTGTCTACAATTTGACACCATATTGTTTGGTAGATAGGAACTAACTCTCATATCACTTGGCATCACATAGCAGAAAGCCATACTTTCCTGAATAAAAGAAAGCAGCGCCTATTGCACAAAGATGCTTACTTAACGCTAAGCTTCAAATATTTCATCAGTTTGCACAGGTGCAGCCGGCAATCTGGACGAGGCAATGAGGTTAACACAGGAAGTACCTGGATTGTCATCATCTTCATCATCACAGCAACGCAGCACCCAGCTGGAAACCTTTATCCTGCGAAGAACCAACCGTTTCGCTGGGGAACGAGACAGTGAAAATTTTGACCAGGCATACTGTAGGCTACTGGCCTTTGAATTGCTATTTCTGTGGAATGCTCTCCCATCCTGTAGTGTTCAGCACATACACAATCTCTTGGAAGGTACTCACGGGATGTCCCTTTAAGTCATAGTTATAATTAATATTAATTTTCCTGACATTATCCTACCTATAAGGGTCTGAAAGTTCCTAGAGGCATACAATAAGGAATATTTTGGTTTACAGGTGCCTATCATTATATGCAAAGGTTTGCTATCTTGAAAATTGCTGTGTATATAGATTGAAAACTTGTAAAACAAGGAAAGCAT